TATTTATTATACTTTTAAAATATATAAATACTAAAATATTTTTATAAAATCTTAAAAAATGACATTTCTTAGGAAAATAAACCCTTCAAAATGTGATTAAAAAAAAAAACCCTCTTTTTTCTGTTTTCTGGGCTTTAATTCCGCTTAGATTTAATTCCACTTAGACAAAATCAGCACCGTTCAATATGGATCTAAAATTCTGTGAAAAAGAATCTCAGTCGAGATCGAAGTCACTTCTTCGAGACACCCAATCTCCTGAAACTGAAACCTCTGTAATCCAATTTCACTTTATTATCCAATTCTGAAGCTATCTAGGGCTTGGCTGCTGCGGTGTTTGCTTATCTGGGTCTGGTAAAGTTTTTGTTTTTAATTTTTGGAAGGCATGGGTCTGGTAAAAGGTTTGAAAGTCTGGACTTGGTTTCGGTGCCTTGAAACCATGGAGGTGTACAAGACATGGGTTCGGAGGAACAAGGAATATGTCCACTCCCTGGAGTCTCTTGCCAATGTAATTCTTCATCATCTGCACGCTAAGTATTCGAATATCTCTGCACTAACGCTGTACTGTTTCCACGATTAGTTTCTTGGCTGTATTCAGTATTGTAGCTTAGCTTTTCTATATTTGTATCTTAGGAATAGAAGGAAAGTTTTTAACTTTATGGGTCTTGAGTGTTGTCATGGTGAGATTTTGGTCTGAATTAATTTTATCATGGGCAATTTTGGATTTGGAGGACTAGGTTTTTGAATGTGTGTGTTGTATGCTCTTTGAGTTAGTAGTGTATTAGCCTGCATCAACATGCAGGGTGTTGCTTATTTTGATTGTTTATTCTGGATGGTTTTTAGGAATTTGCTTATGCTGGTCTATACCATTCATGTTAGATGAATAAAGGTGAAGTTTTGAAGGAGTGTTTTAGTCCTACACAACTTGAGATGTGTTGATAAGCTTCTCCAATTTATTTTCCCAATTATAAGCTTCAAAAAGATGGTTGACAGCATTTCTGAAAGATTGGAAACTGGACTTTCTAGACACCCTTTTGTAAAGATCTCTATAGACTACTTTGTTTCTACCCATTGGTTTATGAATGACAATATTTTGTGACCTTGATAGATATATTTCTTTATGTATCTAAGTTGATTATGAGGTAGAGTGCTGCTATTTTGAAAGTTTAGAAATTTAAGTTTTGATGATTGACTTTTAGTTTTGTTTTGATATTTGAGCATCAATATTTTTAATGTTAATATTGGAAATTATTGTGCAGGGATTAACGTGGCTACTTCCTGAACGGTTTTCTACTTCTGAGATAGGACCAGAAGCAGGTTTTGTGATATTTGGGTAACACTTAGCTACTTCTTGTTCACGTAGAAATCTTTGATAAAATTTTCCTTTCTTCTTACAACCGATCATCTGATTGGTTGTTAAGAAATTAGAGGAAAGAAA